AGCATTACCACTTTTCATTGTTGTTGTACATTCGAATGGTGCATAAAGTAAACGTGTCTGTTCCCAAAATGCTGAATATTCATTTACTTTATCTAAATCTATACCCGTATCATATTTTGTATTTTGTAATGCAGCAACAAGACCACCCATAGTTGGTTGAGATGTCATACCACTCATTGAATCAACAGTTACATCGACAATATCAACACCGGCTTGACATGCAGCCATATAATTAGCAATACCAGTTCCAGCTGTATCACTAGAAAATGATAAGATATTATTTTACAGAAAAAAAAATTGAAAATAATTGTGAATAAAGAAGATATATACATCTTAATGATGTTTTCTTCTTTGTTCAACAATTAGAACAATAAAAATAATGTAGATGTTCGATGTCTGTATGTTAAATAGAAAAGAAAATATTATGTCATTTGTTAGAAATCACACTGTAAAGCACGAATAGATTGGAAAAACAAACAACGCAGAAATTATAGAAACCGATGTTAATATTAAACGCAGTGTTGAATAATAATGTAAGTAATCATAATAAATACCAAATCAAATATTTACATAGTTTTGCATACTCATCTTGGTGGATAATATTTAAAATCTAAAGGTAGTCTTATATTATCTTTGTGAAATTTAGAGAAAGAACATGATTTTCTAATATGAGGTCTATAAGTGATTCATTTGTTGTTTGATACAAAAGAATCCTGTCTTGACGAGAACAAGATTAAAACAATAGATATTATTCTTGTTTAAATGAATATCATAAAACGAAGGATGAAAAAGACTTTAAAAATTGGTGGATAGCAGCTAGATATTTTGAGGTTACGAACAATAGTAGAAGGTTTTCATAATTTTCCATGTTAACAAAAATTTTAGTGGGTTCGAAAATCAAGAAAATAATCGTCTTGCTGTGTGTTTACTTACTGTGTATGTAAATGTATTGGTAAATCCGGATGTTTTTGTCGAATAGCGTCAATTAACATTGTAGTTGCTCGTGGTTTAAGAAGACCAGCCATATCTAATATAAATTTTTTCATTTCTATTTAATTTTCAGAAAAAGAAATCTGTTACCTTTGATAGATAAAATATGTGTACCCATTTTAACAAGTTCATCAACAAATTTCAAATAATAATCTAAATTATATTTTGTTCGTGTTGTATCAGCAACATCACCTGTATAACAAACAGCAGCTGATATGACACCATTAGCTTTTCCAACAGCATCAATTCCAATTTTCATATTAGGTAAATAGTTTAATGAATCAAATATACGAAATATATCCATTCCATGATCAACTGCCATTTGACAAAAAGAGTCAATAACATTATCAGGATAATTTGAATAACCAACAGCATTTGCACCACGCAATAACATTTGAAATGGAATATTTGGAATAAGTTCTCGTAATTCACTTAAACGATCCCATGGACATTCATGAAGAAAACGAAGTGCAACATCAAATGTAGCCCCTACAGAGTATTTTTTAAGCATACATAAAAAACAACTTATGGAAATTCTTACCTCCCCAATTTTCTAAACTAAAAAATTGTGAAAAATTTTTTGCAACATATGGTGCTGATTTTTTTAAATCACGTGTTCGTACACGTGTTGCTAATAAACTTTGATGAGCATCACGCATCGTTGTATCCATAATTAAAGCTCTAATTAGAAGGAAAAAAAAAACGTACATATCTATTTAAAAGAATTTTATTTTATAATTTTACTGTGGATGTTTACGAACAGCTTTAGCAAAGCCTTCTGGTCCTTCTTTTAATAAAACTTGACGCCAACCATTAGGAATATGTTTCTTTTTTATATGTGGAAGTTCAGGTTTTATATTCATTGGTTTAATATTTGTACCTAATGGTGTTAATGGTCCATTAACTAATATTTCTGATAGATAATGAAGTAATTTTTGTGCACGATTTTGCGTTGGTACAAATTTAAATAGAGTCGGGTTTTCATCTAGGAAACTTGTAGTTATTGAGCCTTCGAGAAATTGTTTATGGTGGAGAACATTGAGCAAAAATGGAATATTTGTTTTAACACCTGATACAAAATTATTATTGTTGTCTTTTAAATGAATACGTTTTCGTTATTATTTTATTTACCTCGAATACGGAATTCTGTAAGTGCACGAACCATTTTAGCACATGCTTCTTGATGATTGCGTGAATGTGCAATGACTTTAACTAAAAGTGAATCGTAGTATGGACTTATAACAGCATCGGTATAAGCAGAAGCACTATCAATACGAATACCTATAAAGAAATAAAACATAAAAACAAATTTTAATCCTCTAAATTTTATTTTGATACAAACCAAATCCTTCAGCAGAACGAAAAACATCAATTCTTCCAACATCTGGTGTAAAATTATTGGCTGGATCTTCAGTTGTCATTCGACATTGTACAGCAGCACCCATTATTTTAATTTTATCTTGTTCAAGACCCAAATCCGCTAATGGTGCACCTTCAGCAATTTTAATTTGTGATTGTACAATATCAATACCAGTTATTTCTTCTGAACATGTATGTTCAACTTGTAAACGACAATTAACTTCAATAAAATAATGTCGTCCTTGATTATCAAGTAAAAATTCAACTGTTCCCGCATTTTGATAACCAACATATTTAGCTAAACGTACAGCATCTGAAGTCATACGTTCTCGAATAGCAGGATCTAAATTAGTTGCTGGTGCAACTTCAATAACTTTTTGATGACGTCGTTGTACAGAACAATCTCTTTCATATAAATGTACAACTTGTCCATAATGATCACCAATGATTTGTACTTCAATATGTCTTGCTTGTGTAACAAGACGTTCAGCAAATAAACGTCCATCACCAACAGCTGCTTTAGCTTCGGATGATGCACGTTGAAATGCTTCTTCTAATTCACTGTCTTTTGTTGCTACACGCATACCACGACCACCACCACCACGTGCAGCTTTAAGCATTATTGGATAACCATGTTCTTTAACAAATTCACGTACAGCATCAATATTATTAACCGCATCAGCTGTACCAGGTATTACTGGTACTTTAGCATCAATAGCTGAAAGAATAATAGTACAATAATTTAAATAGTATCATTTTTTTTTCTTATTTTTACCGGCTTGTCGTGCATTTAATTTATTACCCATTCGATAAATAACATCAGGTGCTGGGCCAACAAATATAACACCAGCATCAAGACATGCTTTAGCAAAGTCTCCATTTTCAGAAAGAAAACCATACCCTGGATGTATAGCATCAACATCATTTTTTAAAGCAACTTTAATTATTTCTGGTATATTTAAATAAGCTGCAATAGGTGATAAACCTCGTCCAATTTTAAATGATTCATCAGCTTTAATACGATGTAATTGTCCTTCATCTTCAGCTGAATAAATAGCAACTGAACGAATATTATTTTCATTACATGCACGAAGTACTCGAATTGCAATTTCACCACGATTTGCAACAAGAAGTTTATTAATTTTTCGAAATTTATATTTGTTGTCTTGTTGGCCTTGTTGTTGTTGTGGATTACCTTTCACTGATAATAAACGTTTACACGAAGCAAATGTTGAGCGAACACAATACGATGTTTGAAGAAGATTATTAACTCGATACATTGTGACAAAATTCTGTTTTTTGTTCGAGTTATGAAAAAGACGCCACTTCTACAATGTAAAGTTTTTTTATATCTGAAATAAACAAGAAGAGTGTTTATTATGTTTTTATTTCTAACAATTCTTTTAGCATATTAAATTCTTCAAGAGAAAATAAAATGTGTACATTGCTTTTTAACATCACATTAAGGAATAATTTCCACTCGGAATCATTAGTTGAATTTGAGATTGATTTCATATATAAAGTCTAGAAAAATAAAAAGAAAACAATTAGAAGAAATCATATTTATATATTAATTTCGCGAGAATAAAAAGACCAGTCAGCTTCTGATTAGATTAATTGGCACTTACAATCAAGTTTTTTGAATGTTTAAAATGAAATACAATTTATATGAAAGACTTAATACAGAAATAGAATATAAAGTAAAGATTAACAAATAAAGTGCATTTGAGGAGTATATCGACATAAAAAGTCATATGGTCAAAAATTATTACCTTAAAACCTAATGATTGATTGGTATTCTGCATAGATAAAGGATGTCCTATAAGTTATGCGCCTCAACAAAAAACTAGTTGATATGTAAACAGCGAATGTGTGGGTACAAAGGATAGCCACACCCACCCTATACCCTAATGCATGCTTCTTCTCTTTACATCCCTATAATTAAAAGAGATAATGTCATCGGATTATACGCCATTTCAGACAGCATCCTACGTACTCGAAGTGCATATAGATATGATTGGGTAGAGAGTATTTTTTGTTTATAAATAAATAAATCTTTATAGAGGTTAAGAACTTTTAGGACATTTGTTATGCTCATATTTTTCTTTATTAACGAGGGAACATAGGGGGCCCATAATCTTCGTTCAAGCTGAAACTTTCAGGATATCATAAGAATCATGAGAACTATTTTGGAAGAAAATTTTAGATCAAAAGATCTTGTTGTGATTCCACATATGGAAAAAAACTAACATTCATGATGAATTCTATAATATTCTGTATAGTATTGAATTTAGTGGAGCGCGCGTTACAAGTAATGTTTCCTTCTATTGATGCCCGTTCAAACAAGACAAATAGTTACAGCATTTTAAGAGATATCCGAGCACATAATTTCGCATTAGAATTAGGTCACTCTTTAAATAACTGTTTCATAGAATTGATTCTATCAAGTTTACTTTTAATTCATGTCGAAATATAGTCACAGCAAACCTTCAGAAATTAATCCAATACATTCATCAGAGTTATTTGGACCATATAAAGAAGAAGTGAGCAACCGAGATTATTGTTCAGTACTAATTTACAAAATGTATTACGGTTAACTTTATATATTGTTTGAAAAGTTTTAAATTCTATATAGAATATTCTCTCATCAGTTACAGAAAACAACTTACTTTTGCCCATGGACAATTTTGCATAGCATCATAAAGAACTGATTTAACTCGATTATCATTAGGTGAATATCTTTCAAAATGTTCATAAAAAAGCCACAATTGTACATAATATGGATATTCTTGTATTAATTGTCTTAATATATGTCTAACACGATGCTCATAACCAGAATTGAATTTTTCATTTATGGCACTTGCTTTTTGTATTTTTAAATGTCGAATTAAATTCATTTGTAAAACAAACATTTTTGTGATTAAACGATATTCAATTTTTTTATTATATTTATAACTTAATATTATTTGTTCATATTCATTAACATAACTACCATACAATGGTAAAAAACATGTATATATTGACATAAATTTTAATAGAATAATTGATGGCCATTTAATATGTTCTAATAATTGTTTTAAATAATTTGTACATTCATTAAATAAAAGATGTTCGGTAAATAATTCATTCCAAAGTATAGAAAGATAAAAGCGAAGAATATAATCAATAATTGTTTGATTATTTTTATTACGTTGTTCATTGATTAATGGTATTATGGAATTTAATACAATAGAATGTAATTTATCAAATGGATCATTTAATAAATATGAATAATTAAGAAAAATAAATAATAATTCAAATGATACATATTCATTTTGACGCAAATACGTAGACCAATCTTGATCTGTTGCTTGATCCCATTTAGAAAATTTTCGACATTTTAAACAATCAATAATGAGTGTTATGATATCATTAAATTGTGTATTTGGAAATAATTTATTTAAAATAAATGTTATTGATGAACAAAGTTTTTCTTTGTTAATTTGTTTATCAATGGAAATAAATTTTGAATTTTCTAATATAATCTTTAACATATGATCAAATAAATGATTCAAATTAAATTCACATATAAGTGATGTTGAAATCCAATAACAAAGATCAGAATAAGAATCATAAGAGGAAAAATTTGTTGAATTCATTCGAATTGTTTGTAAACATAAATCAAATATACGACGACCTTCATTTATACGTTGAAAATATTCATATTCAAGACGTGCATAATGTGTATAGAGACGAAGACATGTACGATATTCTTCTAATGATAAATATTTTTTTATAATTGTTTGTAAAGATTTTAAACGAACTTTCGATAATGATGGATCTAAGAAAACAATATGGAAAATTATGAAAGACAAAGTTACTTTTTCAGAAATAATAACAAGACTTTCTGGCGACAGATAAAATACTCTCGAAGAATATTTCTAATTGATAGCAACACTTTGTTTCTATATCTTTGCTTCTGCGAGGTTCCTATCAGATAAACGAAAACTCTAAAGCACTGTTTCTTGTAACAATTAAAATTGAAATGCTTTTGGTATGGAAAAAAATGCTTTTTCATTCTCGTTAATATATATATATATATATATATGATAGACCTAGCATACAGCGAATCCAAACTTCGCGACGATTTCAGACTGCATATGGTATTTGCATAGTTGTTCAAAAAGTTTTTGAAACATATTAGCGACTATGAAAGCATTCTTAATTTCGGTTTCGAATATTTCCGTACATCATTATTTTTTTTAGTTTTTGAACTATTGACTTCATCGTCTATGGACCTGTTATAACCGATCGCGCAAACGTTTCTTTTGTTTTACTTCGACTTTTTAGTTTTATTAATTAACTGAAAATAACTACATTCAAAACTGAAACTCAACGTTGGATTTAGTACATTTTTAAAATAGACGCAATATAATAGATATCATGGATGAATACAAAGTTGTTCCGATTGAAAGATATAACGTTTTTCTAATCATTAGAAACTTTCGTTTATCTACAGCAAAAACGAATTATGTCGTGTTTTCTCTCAAATAATGATCTTTACAAAAAATTATTCTACCTTGTTTTTCAATTTTAGTTGTCCATCAGATCAATCTTATTCGAAAGTGCAGAATCTTCAAAAACTATCCATGTACAATCTACTCTATTGAAAATACTCATCAAGCGAGTACGACTTTCCAGCGTGAGTACTCATATTACTCACTCGAGTACTCAGGGAATTTCCTGTGTACGTATACTTGTCGAGTACTCGGATGAGTACTCAATGTAGGACTCATAATCCTTTTTCGCAGAATATTTAGCAAAACGCTTATGCACTAGTATATATAAATTGAAGTTGAAATTATATAATAAAAGTGATGCAATAAAATTTACAATAGGAGAAAATTATTTAATGCTTTATCTACTCGATCCTTTATTCTTTTTTGATGAGTCATTTATACGATTAATATTAATGGTGATTTTGAGGAAAAAAAAGAAAACAATTTTTTCTTTTCATTTGTTAACTTCTCTGGTAAGGTTAAATTCTTTTGAAACATATTAATGTAGATTTTCTTTAGTTTTATTTTCTAAATTTATATAGGATATCTTTAGTTAAAATAAAGCTTTTTAGATGGATTATGAAATACGATGAAACGAAGGACAACAAACAACTTTCGTTATAAATCGATCGCGATTTTTAAATAAGAAGATACGCCAATACATGATAGACAAAAAGTTTTTTAGTTTATATTGTTTAATTTTTTTTGTAAATAGTTATCAATTTAAGAATGTGTGTGTTTAATGTTTAGCGTGTTAAGCCATAATATACGTTTATTTTCTATCACATTTTTAATTGTAACTAAATAATTTATTATGCTTTCTGCTTGATTGTTTTTTTTTACTGTTCTCAATTCATGTTTTATTGTACTCTCATTGTTGACGATCTACACAAAGAAATCTTCATTATTAGGGAGGATTGTTGGATATTTTTTTTCTTTTCTTTTCTGTATAACGAAGATACGGTTTTATTGATTTTTTATTAAAAAAAAGCACATAAAATCGTGTTCTTATTGTATCAAAATACAGAAAATATTTAACTTTCTTTGCTAATGATGAAAATTTCTGTTCGTATTCTTTGTGTTAAAATGTATGAAAATGATGTCACACTTGTATTTCTTATTTTGATTATTTTTCTCAAACTTCTATTGCGCATGCCTGTATTTTTTGATATTAATTTGATATTAAATAAAAATTAATGTAGTACAACGGTACTAACCAAAAATACGCTTAGGAGTATTTTTGTCTAGACCAGCGAAGTACACAAAATTAGATAGCAGTACTGCCAAAACACTCAATATTACACGACTAGTACTCAATCGTCATACTCAAATACTCAGATTCTAATGCGAGTACGACCGATGAGTATTCGAAACCTATGAGTACGCATGAGTACTCGTGACATTTTCTAGCGTGAGTACGACATGAGTACTACCCTCTGAGTACTTTGACTATGGTACACTAATCAATAGTATCTGACGATGATTCAGACGTACATAAATTTTCTTTACATTTATCATGCAAAAATTATTTTGAAAAGACTAATAAAAGATATTGATGAGCTGAACACGACATATATGTTCGAGTCATGAATACAAGGTTACGTTTTTTTCTTGCCTTATTAACCTACTCGAAGAAATAAGTAGATCGATCCAAATGAAGGACATACCTATGTGTAGTTGATTAAAAGAACGATTATTAAAGTCTCTTATTCTTACCATAACAAGAAGGAAAAAAACTAGAGGTCTATTTATATCGACCAATATACGCCAATAGCGTATGATAGTTGTCGATGCCACGTTTGTTGACGAGCTATGATTTATAGCGCTATTTTTATCGTTTTCTTGCCATATATGCAAAAGCATTTATTGTTTTGTTTTTCTCATCTTGGTTTTTGTATGCATTATTGCTTCTTATGACCAATTTTTTACTTTTTTTCGAATATCGATTGTAAACAGTGAATACAGAAGCAATAATGAAGTACAAAAGAAGACAAATGAAAGAGAATAGCAAAACCTAGTCAGAATCAATAAAAATCTATTATCAAAAGTGTTGCAGGTTAAAATAAATTTTTCGGATAATTTGTTTATTTTTTACATGGTGAGTGGTTATCGTCAAATCAATCTTATATAAGAGAACTGCTTAAATACAGCAATAAATATTTTCAAAAATAAAGGTAGAAATAAAATCTTGTTCTTATCTAAATAAAACATTCCACTAAGAATCGCTTGAGAACTTCATTTAAAATTTTTCTTAATTTTTTATCAGAACTAAATCGTCATTTTCTTATTAAAACAATTATTTACTTTGTTGTTTAAGTTCAATAATATTTGCTGCTAAATAATACCAATAAAGAAGAATAAATTCAATTTGATATGCTTTTAATGATGGTATTGCTATGATTTCTTCATAAACTTTTGAAATAAATTCAACAGAAAAATTTTTTTCCGTTCGTATAAATGTTATTGGATGTATTAATGAATAAAGTTGTATAAATTCATTATCAACAAATAGTTGTTCTTGTAAATGATTTGATAATGAAATTTTAAATTTATTTAAAATTTCTTGTGAAATTGTTAATTGTGGTAAACCATTCAGAAAATAAAGATAATAAATAATTATTTGTATAAATTGTCGTTGATCAATTAATTCAAATATAAATGGACGAATGATATATTGAAATGATATATTTGATATATCATTATCAATTTGACTAGAATCAGTTAGTGATTGAAGAAGTTTTGAATGAAAATGAATACCACGATTAAGAATTTTTAATTGATAAAAATCTATTCGTGCTTGTTCAATTGATATCCATGATTGATATGTTGAATTAAATAAATTATTTTCATGTTCAGATAATAATGAAAGTTCATTTTCAATATATGATATTGGATTTTCTACTTCAATTCGTTCTCCAAAACTAAATAGAAAAATATTTCAGAATAAAAATAAAAATCAAATATAACTTGTGGTTATTTTTTTATACCGTAGTTTATCTGTATCCCAGGTTTTTTCAATTGTTTCTAATCGTTGAGAAAAATCGATTTTGGTTTCTGTTGTTAAATTCATATGTAACTCAATCATAGTTTGATACAGACCAAGTGCTCGTTCACAATAACCAGCATCACGTAATACACATGTCCATATTTGAAACATGTCTAAGACAAACAGATTGAAATTTCATGGTTACATTTTATCTTTAGCAATTATGTACTTGATGGCTTTTATTAACTACTGATAAGATAGGTACATGCAGGATTACGCACGTGCATTCAAGAAAACCTTTATGGATAACGATTTTATTTATTCCCTGATGTGCAATATTTTTTTATGTATTTTGAGCTCTTTCCAATGTTAGAAGAAACAAGAAAAACATAAAGTCAGATACTAAAATCTCATCATACCTATCATATGATTTAATAAAAATCTTCGTTCCTTTCCACTACGTGTTTGTATATGATATGCATATGTTGAAAAATATTGTATAAATATATCATTTAATTTATCAATGGAAAATACTTCAATACGATTAAGTACAAATTGTATATATGAAAACCATGCTTCATTTATTGTTCGATCATCACTTGATTTTTGACAATCTTTTATTAATACTGTCCATTCATTTAAAAGTATATCATGACTAAATAAATGTGAATGTGTACGAATATTCAATTTTAATAAACGATATTGTAAACGATTTGAATTAAGTTCTAGAGCTCGATCAACTATTGATAATTGTTTATTATATAATGCAGTTAATTTTTCTTGTTGTCCATTTGTTTTAAAAAGATAAAATTGATAATCAATTAATTCTTTCCAAGCATCAAATGAATGTGGTTGTTCACGGACAGTAATATTTAATTGTTCAAGATGATTGTCTACCGTAACGAAAGAGTCTGGTAACCGATTATCGATGTCTTCAGTTTTATGATGAAAATAACGAACAATACGCTGTTTACGAGACGGCTTGGTAATTCGGGAACCCAATGGACGTTGATTACAAAATTTAACTCCATAACGAGGAATACCATGAGTGTATTGAACAGTTATATTGGCACGATCACGACGACGATCAATATAGAATACGTCACTAAAAAGAAAACAAGCATATTATGAAAATTTTTCTTTCTTTATTTCATTTATATCCTCTAATAACTTCGAATAAAGTTCTGTCTTCTGGTTATTGAGATGCATATTATAAACTCTTGTTTCTTAAGAATTATTAAATCATATTTAATATAGGCATAGTTACTTTTGTTTCTCCTCAAAACAGGAACTGCGAAAGAAAACAACTAAATATTCTTAGTTAAATAAGACGCATTTATTTTTTTATGATTGGTATTTTTGTAAAGTAATTTGTGTTACAATTTAATTTTTATCTATTTTCAAATCATTGGGTATGATAGAAAAACTCGAATACGAACTCGTGTGTTGCATTTTTCTTTGTTACGATGTGTTGAATCGGTTTTGCGATTGGTTTCTTTTCTTCTTTTGGTTTAACATCAACAAATGAATCAGGTTTTATTGAAATAATTGGCCGCTGTTGCAAAGATATGATTGGTGGCTCAATTGCAAATGATTTATTCTCAAGCCAAGTACTTTCTATTGAAAAAGATTATATTAATTGATAATTCAACTTTATTTTACTTGCCATTAGCACTGTTGTTACTCGTAGATGATAATGATGATGATGGCACTATCGGTTTTTTTTCTTCTTCGTCTTTTGCTGATGATTCAGAAGAAGCATAGGCTTTGAACATTGTTCTTTTTTCTTTTAGATCCTAATAATATGTAACATCTAGAACAAAATTAAGATGTTTGTCAGCATTTATTAATAACATCCTATCTAGAATTAAGTTATTTATTTCAGCTAAATCGATTAGGAATATAATCAAAAAAACCTAGAGTGTAACCAAAAGATCCAGTTTCACTTTGGATAAAAGCATTTCATACTATCTTATCATATGAGATTGCGTTCTTTCGAAAACTTCTCACTACGGGTATAGTAGGATAAAACAAAATGTATGACAATATATTATTCTTTAAACATATGTATTTTGTCAGTAACTCAAAATTTCGACAAGCTTCTTTTGTTATTTTTCCAGTGTGAATCCCTCACACAACAACTTTACTCACCATCAGGTGAAAAATATCCTTACGAATATTTATATGTTCTATATAACGAGAACAATCTCGGGTTATCAAAATAAGGCTAAACAAAAAGAGAAATGAAAAAAAAACGAAATATATCATAATGAAAAGAAAAGAATAGCTTGAAGCTAAATAAAAATTAATGTTTTATTAGTTCTTATATACTAGGTTAATCTTTTTTCAAGTTCTTGTCTATAAAATTGAAATATTTGTCTAGCTATTGGTTGAGCAATAGATATAGCTTGTTCAAGAGTTTTCATATCAAAATCTCCACTTGCATGCATAGCTAATATATCATTTAATGTTATTTCAAAAACAACAACAAAATAACTTGTTGATGCTAATTCATCTTTTGTTTTAGGTAATGATAGAAGACCTTTTGTTGGATGTTGAACAACAGGTACAGCAGCAAATGCATATTTCATTGGTAAATTTGCATCAAGCATTGTTAAACAAAGTGTATTACATAAACATGCAAGTATTGTTGCTTCACCAGATAAATTTTGTTCTTCATACATAACAATATTAATTTGTGAACGTGGATAATGTTCAGTTAAAACAGTTGAATGTACCAATGTTTCAAGCCATTGCTCAATAAGTTTATCTTTTGTTGATGTCGAATTTGTATTATTATTACCTGGACGAGCTTGAAATGTAATATCAACTTGAAGACGATTAGTGGCATCTTGTTGTTGTCGTAATTCACCAGGCCCATTAAGAAGGCATGTACATAATGCATCATTTAATGCGAATGTTGCAGAGCCAGTAGCTTTCGATATTGGTGATAATATACAATGAAGACATGAAAATATTGATGTATCATTGTCATTAGTTTGCGAAACTGTTTCAGTCATCTAAAAAGAAAAATTGTTAAAATTCTCATGTACAAACAAAAATAAACATTCATTATATTATTTAGAAATGCGGAAAAAAGAAAGAAACTATTCTCAACGTGTTAACCAATCGAGTAATGATGATAAATTCGTCCCTGTTCGAGCATTTGTTTCTATTATTTCAACTTCTCCTTTCCAAATCGAATCCAAATCAAGTAATTCAATCAAAGCTGTCCTATTTAATGAATTAATTTCATTTGTTTTATTAAAAACTAGAAGAATGTTTTTTGGTTTAATTGGTATTTGTTCACATATTTCTTTTAATTGTTCAAATGTAAATGAAATAGACCATGGTTGTGTCGAATCAATAACATAAATAATTTTATCAAAATGTGTACTCATATAAAATGTTTTCCATAAACAACCTAAGGTTGCACCAAGTTCATGTAATTCAAATGATTGATGACGTTTATTTTTTATTACAGTTAATGTTTTTCCAATAGTTGCTGTTGTATAAAGAAATTCATCATTAATTAGTTTTGATGATGAACACATTTCTTCCAAACGTTTTATTAAAAGACTTTTTCCACCCCAACGACTTCCAAGTACAAGAATTTTTTTTGTTAATATATCAGACATTAATCTATGAAACAATAGAAAACAAGAAAAAAAAATTTCATGAATGCTGGTTCTTTTAATTGTGTTTTATTTTAACAGAAAAAAAACAATATAAAACCTGACAACATTCATGTATGTCTTAAAAAACAAAAAAAAAAGTTTTTCTAACAATCATAACAAAAAAGAAGCTTATGGCTTTTTGTGTATTGTTTCTTGCTTACGAGAAAAGAAAAAAAAAGAGAAATATAGAAAGATAGACGGACAAAATGAAAAGAGTTTGTTTGTGTTGCTACTTATCATCACACATTTAAAGAACAAGGGATAGAAATTAAACTTCAATTAATTCTGCTTTAGAGATACAACTTCACCACCATTTGTTTGACTATCACACGATGAATACGGAGGTGGTGGTGAACTCGAAATCGACGAATATGATGGCGGTGCTGGTGATTGGGATTGATTAAAAGTTGAGGATGGATTTATTTGAAATAGATTCGCTTGTGGCCAAAGACGATTACATTCAAGACGATATTTTTCAAGTATTGAAGATTCAATTGAACCATAATCACCTGATTGCATGCTTTCATAAATATTTGAACATACCTGAATAGATCAATCAAAATGACGACATAGAAAAGAAAAAGCAAAAATACAAACTTTTAAATTTTGATCAATAAAATTTGAATTCAATGTTGTGAGAAATTCAATAGCTTTGAGATTATTCTTTGGATTAATTAGTAGCATGACTTTGGCAGCTAAATACGCACGAAACTCTTAGTAGATTAAATAAATGCTAGATATTTACCTTCAGCACGATGTGATAATGAATTTGAATGAGTTTTAATAAAACTTTCATTGAGTTCTTCAATGTTCTTTATTGACTCTCCTTGTTTAATACCAAATGTTTTTAATTCTTCCTCTATTAATGTTCGTAATCGTTCATCAGCTATAGATTCAGTTTCAACTACAATCGAGAAAAAAAAACATTTATGAAATAAATCTTTGATTCTATTTATTTTTTTATTTTTTTAACTAACCTAGTTTTAAAAATTTCATTAAACATGAATGAAGTTTAGCATTATTTGCATCTAATTTCTTCATTCGTTTTAAACAACGTAGCATTAATAAATATTTCTCTAAAGATAATTTATAGATTTGTTTCTTTTCATTAGTTTTATTTGTAACATACTTCGTCGATAATAAACTTCAAAACCTAAATAATGTGTTTGAATAAAATTACCAGAAAAATCTTCAAGTGGTTGCAAAAATCGCATGGCTTCTTCTAATGGTTTCTCACACTGAAAATATAGATCGTTAAGTAAAAAGAAAATCATGATAATAATTATTATTTATAATATACATGTTCAAGCTTTTCAGCAACAATTTCTTCTTCTTTAACTTTTTCTTCTTCAGCATCATCTTTATTTCGACTACGTTGAAATTCTTTTTTACGTCGTTCAGCTTCGATTTGTTTTTGTTTTTCTTGTTGTTCACGTAATTGTTGTTTACGTAATTTATTTTTTAATTTTTTCGCTTCTCCAGCTGACATATTAGCTAAAAATAGAATATCATTGACATTCAACAGAACATATTTTGCCAATCAATAGTTGCTTTGTATATAGTAAAATTTCGCCTGAAACCTTTTTTTTCATTTTTTCGTTTAAGATCAGTTTTCAGTTTAACTCTTTATCCCTTATGAAACTCATTGAGTAGAACTGTCGATGTTGATTCAAACAGATGGTTAAGTTAAACAGGTGGTATTTATGATATTTCTTTGGTTAAATTTGGACGAAGTCATTTCGTTGTGGAAATGCAGAATTGCTCAAAAAAAAAATTATCCATCCATCTTGCATGACACGAGAGTTGAATTTACTATTGTCTTAGAACGTTAGTGTTCATTTTCTGTTTATAATATGACGCATTGGTTTTGATTTCGATTCAAAAATCATCCATTCCTATTGTCAAGGTCTCATTTAGAAGGAAGGCTACAAGAGAAGCTGCAAATTCTTATCTTTTATCGAAAATAAGTGACTTAAAAACGGCTTCGAAATGCTTCTTGACTGATTGTTAATTTTAATAAAGTTTTTAGGATGAATATCGTGTTATTTTCTGAGTTTATGTCAAAAACAAAATTATTCTAGAAAAATCATTGTAATGTTATTGACTGCGAGTGAATCAAAAATGACCCAAATTCCCATGAAAAATGCTGCTTCTACATCTATAATCAAGAAAACAGGTTTCTTTTGTACTTTTTTTGAAAAGAACACTTTTCGATTTCATGTATCCAAGTCAAAGAATGATGTAGAGAAGTTCAAGTTTTTTTCGATCATGTGACCTATTTAATGCTCTACACAATATTCGAGAACCATTTCTATACAATGCTTTATTAATTCAAATCGATAGGTCCTTTTTATGGATCAAAACTAGCTCGACGGAAAATAAAAGGCCTAATGTTTAACGACTACTTCGAGTTTGGTAGTCTGTTAATTAAATATCGCGCTGTAGGAAATGTGAAGACGAAAACACACGAATCTATTATATTCGATTGTTTTTAATTGCAACCTTATCTAAAAGCTAAGTCTCAGCAGTATGACATTGATCTAGTATTTATTTAACGTTTCATTCTTCAACAATACGTCAAGATCTTCCATTTTTGAAAGGATTGCAAGTATTCTTATTATGACCACTCTTGTTCATAAACTTGAATAGAGTCTTAATTAAATATCTTTCATTCCAATTATGAACTGTAGATTTAATATAAATGCATTAGATAAATTAAAGCTATAGTTCATTCTTATTTCCGCTCCGATAAAATCAAAGTTTTTTGTAAACAAATTCAAAGATACTGGTTTTTCCTTACCAAGATTATCATTTGTATCATTATCTTGTTCAGACAGAGGATGATCATAAAGACGAATATAAATCTAAATAATAAAAATAAATAATTTTTCTTTTTTTTTTTAATAACTTTTATTCATTTACTTCAACAGCAATTTCAGCTGCTTGACGAAAAAATCGATGACCTTTCATATGATCTTCGAGATTGAGCATATCAACATAAGCACATAGCACCATTTTACGAAGACAATATGAATGAAAATCAAATTGATCTTCAATAAACTCTTGAAAATGCTAGACAAAGAAAAAACAATAAAAAC